ATTCTCAGGAGTAGAACCCAAGAAGAGGAGCCACCTACATCCTCTGGGACCTCCCCATGTACTCTGCCTCCTAGGGAGACCCAGGCTGCTAAGTGAGCTCCCCACAACCACCTCCCTTGGCCTCAGTTTCCAGGGATTTCAGACAAGGGCTTTCTCCCGGCTCTTTCCCATGTGACAAGGGCCCAGCTGGGACAGGAGGTACTCAAAAAACAGCAGAGTGAAAGAACAAATGACTTCCCAAGGGAGTGGCCATTCTCTCTAGAGCAGCTGCGCTACTCCCCAGAAGCCACCTTGCTTTCAGAGAACTCTGGGAGGACCAAGGGCCAGCCTGCAGTGAACCTCCAGGGTAGGCTGTGCTTGAGACAGCCTCAGGAGTAGCCCAGAGCCGTCACATCCGCCTTCCAGGACCTCTGATAAGACCCCCATCTTCTGGCCACACCTGGGAGAGTGGCCTTGTTCAGGATCAGCCCTGTGGTCTCAAGCAGTTAGACCTGCAACTTGCTCAGTGCTCCCCACCCCCGCCTATGAGCACTGCTGTCCCCATTTTACAGACTGAGCAATCCGTGGTGACAAACTTGGAACTGAAAATGCATTTCTCCGCTCCCTGTATGGTGCTTATCTCACAGTTCAGTAACTAATGCCTTAATTTTAAAAACAAAACAGTTAAAGAGAAACTGCAAGCACATGTAGAATATAGCATCCTTTGTGCATCCTTCTGAAACGCTTGGGACTAGAAGTGTGTTTCAAATATTTTAAGAGTTTGGAATATCTGCACAGATATAATGAGATATCTTAGTAATGGAACTCAAGTTTAACTACGAAATTCACTTATATTTCATGTATAATTTATACACATACCCTGAAGGTAATTTCATCCAATATTTTCAGTAGTTTTGTACATGAAACAGTTTCCTTTGGCACTCTCACAAAGTTAGGGGTTGGGAGCATTTTGGATTTGGGTTTAGGGGTGCTTGACCCATATTGGCTGGGGGCCGTGAATTGAACAGAGTGCTCTGGAGGCCTTGCAGCCCTCTCAATGGCCCTCTGAGAGAGATCTGACAGAAGTTCAGAAAGGTGGGCATAGCCCAAAGTCACACCACAGCCGTGCTCTCCCTCTCCCACCCCCTGGAATCACAAGGCAGAGCCGAGCTTAAGCCCTGTGTTACCTATTCTCAGGCTCCAACTTGCAACCTGCTCCATCTGCTTCATCTCCCTGTGGGAAACCTGGGGCCCACAAATGGGGACTCACCCAGACACTCAGAAGATACAGCAGGCCTAGAACTTTAGCCACTGAATGACTGCAGGCAGCCACAAGGTGCTGAGGATGGAGACAGTCCCAACCCCTGTCCCTGGGCACTCAGCTCCTCTTTCCCCTGCCCTCTCCGCTAGCACAGTCTCTGGCTGTCCTCCATGGCTGTAGATGCCAAGATCAAGGCTGAAATGGGGTTTTGCCATAAGCAAAGCAATTATACCCAATTCTGTTTCCGTAGACTCAGCTCCCCAGGGGTACACCAGCTGCAAAAGGGAAGGAGAGGAGGACCGAGGAGTGGGGAATCCTCCTGGATGCCAAGCCTCCATCCATGTCCCCAGGGCAGGGGGTACTGGGTCAGGGCAAAAGAGGGAATCCTCACCCAGCGGTGCTTGGGACCCTCAGTGGGTTGAGCAAGACTGGGCCCTCTCCTTGCTGCGCACCCTATGCCCCATCCCATCCCTCTCTCAGAAAAGCCAGGAACCAAGTAGCTCAAGGCCAGGCCCATCAGAGGGGACAGGGGACCATGATCAGAGGGCAGGGCTTCAAATCTGGAACTTTGATGTTTTCTCCTTTCAAGGTTACTTGGGAGTGAAGTTTTACTAAGAGGACAAAAGAAATGCTGGTCACACAGCTTTAAACCTGTGTCTGATGACCAGATCTTCCTGCCAGAAATGCTAGGAAATATACCTCCTATAATTACATTGCACAGGGAGCCAGGGAGACAGCTCAGTGACTTACGTGCCTGACTGGCAAGTGCAAGATCCTGAGTTTGATCCCCAGTACCAAAAAAAAAGAAAAAGAAACTTGTTAATTATCTTGCACAGAGTACAATTCCCTTGCATTGTAGCTTTTTGTTGTTAAAAGCATTTGTTTCTCACTTTTTTTTTGTACTGGGTATCGAATTCATGACCTTACACCTGCAGGCAGGCGCTACACCACTGAACTATACCCCCCCCATAGGATACTTTTGTAATCCTGCTACAATGTTTTCATTTTCTAATGTACAGAGAATGTCAAGACACATTGGGACCCTGTTTTTCTTGACCTAGAGGTCTTGCTGTTTAATGTAGGTAACCTGAGACCAGGGATAAAAAGGACCCCCTTTATCAAAATCAAACTCTTAACTATGAGGGGCTCCCTCACCCTAGCCAAGTGATTTTAGCAGCCAAAGAGCTTGCTTGCTTTATTTATTTACTTATTTATTTATACCAGGAATCGAACCCAGGGCCTTGTGCTTGCCAGGCAGGCGCTGTGCCACTGAGCTGTCTCCCAGACCTAGCTACTCTTTCTAAAATACACATTAGATCTTGCTACTCCCTGGCACTGACCTATCCAACAGCTTTCTGGTGTAATTGTAAATCCAGCCTCATATCCAAGACCTTGCTGCATCCTCCCTCCCCTCAGCCATGGAGGTAGAGCAACTGCAGCCTCCTCTCTGGCCTCAGACACCTCAAGCTCCTTTCCGCCTTGGGGCCTTTGCACATGGTGTCTTTAGACCAGAATGCTCTGCCCCGGAGTCTTCTCCTGGCTTCTGGCTCCTCTTAGACGCAGCGCACTGTCCCCTCTTGCAGAGCTGCCCAGCTGCTCCTCCAAGAGCATCTCTCCTGTGGCGTCACTTCCCCATTACCTTGCTTTATTTGTTCACAGTGCCCACCACAACTTGAAACTACCCAGCTTGTGTATGTATCTTTTTTTTTTTTTTTTTTTTTTTT